CTTATAAAATCCTCAAGGTCACATTAGAAAAGGTTGTGATCCATTAAAATTGTTGTGGTTGCCCCTTCAATTATTCATTGTTCATAAAAATGAGTAAGGGCATTTTTGTCATTGAAAAGGTGTTTTTACTAAAGACAAGGTTAGTTATGAAGTTCCAGTACTTTATTAGTCTAAATGCCTTTGTCCTTTAGTGAATATTTCAAATCTGCCATTCTCGAGATGACAATAATACCTTGTCTTTTAGTACAAATATCAATACTGCCATTTCTAATGATAAAAGTGCCCTTACTCATTTTTATACTAATGAAAGGGTAGTTAAAGTAATATTGGCAGTTCACACCCCTTTCTATATCTAACCTATGGGGTCTCATGGCATGTTACATACATACATACATAGAGGTTTTTTGTGGCTAACACTCCATGAATACTATAGTTTGGACAGGAGTGTGGAACTGGCAAACATACTTTAATTGCCCTTTTTTTCATTTCATGGCTATAAATGAGTAGGAATAAATGAGTAGGAATTGTCATGCAAAGGGAATTGTTATGTAGTGATTCTCTTGGTACTTATATTAATATAATTCCTTTGTCGTTAGTGAAAATATCAATAATACTCTTCCAATGACAAAAATGCCATGCCCTTGCTCATTTTATAGTTAAAATAAATAAAGGGGCTACTGGAGTAATTTTGACATTCCCTCTTCTTTCTAGATGTAACCTATTGTATTTTATAGGAAAAGGTGCATTGGGCACCTCCTAACCCTATCAGAAGATACAATTCCGGTGCTGAAACCTCTTAGGTGGGATGAAAATCTATTTCTACCCCTAATTATGAAATTTAAAGCTCCAAAATGGTGTTAATCGAGTAGATCTATAAACACTTTAAAATCTTGAAAATGGGCGGTCCAAATAATGTGTTACAAGCAGTGTTTGAAAACTCACCGAGTCGAACCGGATTGGCTCGGTTCGACATGAGAATCGGCACCCCCGTGCTGGTTCCACCAAATAATGCTAAAACGCCCGTGTATGGAGAGAACATGGCGATTCAGAACAGTGAATCACCCAGTGACATCATGATTTGCATGTCGTTACAGTAACACACGCCTCGTGATATCATCATTCACGTGTCGCTACAGTGGTTTTAGTTTTTTTTATTTTTCAGTTAGGTAATAATTTTTTTCAGTGTTTTTTTAGTTTTCAATTTAAAATTCAAATTATATGCCCCTGCCCAATCTGCTTGTATCATGCTTACGTCAGAGTACAGACTTACCCACCTCACTTCCACGTAGCCTACCAACATCAGCCGTTAATAAAACTTGTTTTCTTGCTTCTTTTATACAACCATTTCATCCCACATCTCTTCGATGTAGGATAATTATATATGTACTTGTGCTTTATTCAACTCACGTGAGGGTTCATGCGCTTTAATCCCACGTCTCGTTCCTTTTAAGTTTTAAGTTTTAACCCGTGTTTTAAAAAACGGATTGTTGCTCCAGATCGGGCACCCCAAAAACCTATCCGGATCGGTTAATCGGCGATTCGGATCGAAAATCAGCCGAATCGATCGGATTGGGCCTTAGAAAAAATCCAAAAAAATTATTAAAATTCATTATAAATGTTGTTTTTTAAGAATCCAATAAGAAATGAGGGTACTACCATATTAACTTTCATTTTTTTCATAATATGCGAATCTTCTTTCCCTGTATGAACTTATGTTAACCATTAAATTTACATCAAACAGAAGAAAAATTATAGAATTATAATGGATGAAGTATATAATCATACATAGACTACAATAAAGAATGGTTTAAATCGATGAAAAAATGGCCACCAAAATATCGAATTGGCAGAGAACCGTAATCTGTTAAAAAAAACAAAACTCAAATTATTACAACTTAACTAACCGTAATCCAAAATTATTATAACCTAACTAACTATAATATTATATACTAAAATTGAAATTGTAGGTTTACATTTTTATAGTTATTTATTACACAAATAATAACAAATCCAAAATATCTTATAATATCATCTAATTTAAAATGTATTATTGACAACTGTAAGAAAAAATAGTACATTACATAATTTATAATGCAAATAAATTAAAATATGTAAAATAAAAGATTTGGTTGTCAATGTAGAATTAAATTCTAAAGTGGTATGAGTTAGTGTTATTTTTCTGTCTTAAAATATCCTCTAAACTAATATTTTTTAATATTCAATAAATTAGAACTAATATTAGTTTTTGTTTCTTTAATATCCTATGAGCTAGTATTAATTTTTAATCTCAATTAATTACTCAATTAATTATTAATTATATAATAAAATAATCCCATGAGATAATAGCCTAATAGAATTTTTATTTTTTATTTGGGTAGGTAAATTTAAATTTTTTTGATGAAAGATAGGGGTGGTGAGCACCTAATTATTATTTTTAATAAAAAAAATTTTTTCATATAATTTAATTACTACCATCGGCCGTACATTCTTCTTATTCATGATGGGCATACATCGTTGGGGTACACCATCGTGGGCTAATATGTTAAAATTTAAAACTTAAAAAGGAAAGAGACGTGAGATTAAAGTGCATGAACCTTCACGTGAGTTGAATAAAGCAAAAATACATATATAATTGTCCCACATCGAAGAGATGTGGGATGAAAGGGCTGTATGAAAGAAGCAAGACAACAACCTTTCTTAACGACTGATGCTAGTAGGCTACGTGGAAGTGAAGTGGGTAAGTCAGTACCCTGACGTAAGCTTGACACAAGCAGGTAGGGGCATATAATTTGAATTTTTAATTGAAAAATAAAAATAATTGAAAAAAAGTTATTATCTAAATGAAAAATAAAAAAGATTGAAAACACTATAGCGACGCGTAAATGATAATGTCACGGGGCGTGAGTTTACTGTAGCGACACGCGAATCATGACATCACTGGGCGATTCACTAATCCGAATCGTTTGGTTTTCTCTAGACACGGGCGTTTTAGCGTTATTTGGTGAAACCGGCATGGGGTGCCGATTACCCTATCGAACCGGGCGAGTCCTGTTTGACTCGACGAGTTTTCAAACATTGGTTTTAACATATTAGTCCCCGACGGTATATGCCCATCATGAATAAGAAGAATGTACATCCGATGGTAGTAATTAAATTATATGATAAAAAAAAGGAAAAAATTATTAATAATAATAATAATTAGGTGCTCACCACCCCTATCTTTCACCAAAAAAATTTAAATTTACCTACCCAAATAAAACATAAAAATTCTATTAGGCTATTATCTCACGGGATTATTTTATTATATAATTAATAATCAATTGAGTAGTTAATTGAAATTAAAAATTAGTACTAGCTCATAGGATATTAAAAAAACAAAAAATAATATTAGTTCTAGCTTATTGAATATTAAAAAATTAGTTTAGAGGATATTTTAAGAGAGAAAAATAACACTAACTCATACCACTTTAGAATTTAATTCTACATTGACAACCAAATCTTTTATTTTAATTTATTTGCATTATAAATTATGTAATTTTCTTTTTGTTTTCTTACAGTTGTCAATAATACATTTTAAATTAGATGATATTATAAGATATTTTGGATTTGTTATTATTTGTATAATAAAATAACTATAAAATGTAAACCAACAATTTCAATTTTAGTATATAATATTATAGTTAGTTAGGTTATAATAATTTTGGATTATAGTTAGTTAGGTTGTAATAATTTTGGATTATAGTTAGTTAGGTTGTAATAATAATATTTATTTTTTAACGGATTAGGGTTCTCCGCCAATTCGAGATTTTGGTGGGCATTTTTTCATCGATTTAAACCATTCTTTATTGTAGTCCATGTATGATTATATACTTCAGCCATTATAATTTTTCTTCTGCTTGATGTAAATTTAATGGTTAACATAAGTTTATACAGGAAAAGAACATCTCAAGATTCGCATATTATGAAAAAATGAAAGTTAATGTGGTAGTACCCTCATTTCCTATTGGATTCTAAAAAAACAACATTTATAATGAATTTTAATAAATTGTTTTTGATTTTTTCTAAGGCTTAATCCGACCGATTCGGCCGATTTTCGATCCGGATCGCCGATTCACCCATCCGGATGGGTTTTTTGGGTGTCCGATTCGGGGCACCGATCCGTTTTTTAAACCACTGGTTACAATATATACCTTTTTTAGGACTTGAAATCTTTTTTTTAATATCCATACGTTTCGAGGTTCAGATGATCAATGTGAGGGGTTTTTCATTGTCAGAACAACCTTGTCTGATGGGTTTTTAAAGTCTGCCTTCTTCATATATATGCCTATGTGCGTGCACATGCATGCATATTTCAAGAAATTGTGAAAAACAGACAATTTCTTAAAAAATTGTAAAAATACTATATCAGAATGTGTATAAGATATAAAATACAAAAAAGTGACGCTGTTGGCTAGAAAAAGAATCAGAAAAACTGAAAAACAAATTGAAACCAGGCAAAATAGAATAATTAGCAAAAAATTAAAATGTATTTACAAAATGAATTGTAAATCAACTATAATTGATTTAGTCAAATATAAATTAATTTTATAAATTTAAATTGGAAAAATGTTACATATCCAAATTTTTAGGGCTGATCCCCCAATCCTCCCTGCCAGTACAAATCCTTTTGAAAGCTTCCTCACTCAAAATCCCAATCGAAACCCCTAATCTAGTTTTGGGTTCCAACCTTGGAATCCGAATCTAGGAAATCTGATCTCTTTAAAACTTTGCATGAATAAAAAAATCCAAATTTGAAAGCTCAAATCCCAGTTTTTTGTGTTTTTATTGCAAGAATCAAGCTTATGATTGGATCAAGAACACAAAAATAGGCTCAGAATCAAGTTTTCTTGAAGCTCGACTATCGATTGCCAAAAAATTAATTTTTCAAAATTGGACAAACTTGGCTGAAATCTTTGTTTTAAAAAAATCTATGGAAGCTCTTTTTTTACGTTAAATTTAATGTTTATAAAAGATAGATTGAGCTAAATCATACTAGTTGTTCAACCTATTGTCACTGAAAACCGGGGAAGAGGGGGGGGCCGGGGGGGGGGGGGGAGGCAATGTTGTCATATTGTCCTGTTCAAAAGGTAAAGGTGAAGGGCTAGTGTTTCTCGAAAAGTTTTTGACCTTAAACACCCAATGACTTAAGAAAACCATATCAGATGGTTTATCTCGTAGAAAAAACCCTATTTCTAATTTTCTTACCCTTTTAAATATATACTTATTTATTATTTTCTATTAAGCCCTGTGTCTTTGTTTTGGAGTTACTGTGTCTGACACTTCTAGATGCGTTTGACACGTTTTGCCATATCTGTGCTTGGGTTACATCAGTATTCACATATTCTTTTAACAACTCCCCCACATGGTAAAATCCATTTACACCATTATGAATAAACTTTATGTGGGTGTCCAAAGTTGAAGGTGTGAAAGAAAACTTGAACATCTCCCCCCATGAGCTTTCTTTTGCTTCTGTTGTCTAACCCTCAGTATTGACTTAAACAATAGCACAATATGATCCCTACATTGGTCCCAAGAACCAGAAGTAAAATTTAAGTGATATTTGAGTTAAAACATTCTTCATACTTGCTAAATCAGCACTGTGCACTATAAAAGAAACTCGGAAGTTTATCAGTTCTATTGTATTGCACTTCGCCCCTTAAGTCATGCATTGGGTGCTGACTTTTGCTTGAGTTGGAAAGAGCAGGCCGTCTCATAAACTGGGGTTCCATTTGCATTCCAACTATTGGGAATAGGCTTGTTCCCACTGCTACGAAAGAGTGTGGCCCACAGCTACATACCTGTGTTTCTTTGTTGGCTCTGCTGGGTATGAACACTAAGTTTATTTCCCAAGGCAACTGGGTAAATCCAATACGGTAAATAAATGAGATGAGGTAGACAACTTGAATATATGATCAACAATTCTCTAGGTTTATATGGGTGTACTTTTTTAATATGACATATATTGGCTGCTAGCAAGTTTATTGAATCATAACTGGATGAAGTCTCATTGAGGTCTTAAATCTTATAATTATTTGACCACCATATTTATTCATGAAACTGCTTACATCACTTCTGAAACTGATAAGCGTTGTACGTAAAATTTGGGAGCGAGAACCCCTTTTTGTGGGAAGACTACTTGAGCCAAATGAGACTAAACCTTTACCCTTCTTTTTTTTTTCTTTTTCTTTTTTTTTTTTTTTCTGTGGGGGGCTGGGGGGGGGGGAACGGGGGACGGAAGTGAATTCTGGAGGAACTCTTTACAATTTTTGTTTTGCTAGGTCCTTAGCTAAAAAAAGTAAAAAACACACTTTCTTATGATTACGAGGTTTATTCGATGTGAAACCCATCTTAAATACAGCATCCCACTTTTTTTACTAGTGCATAGAATTGGCTAAGCATCTCCTTCGAACAAATGTAGAGCCAAAACGGATGGTTTAGAGCCTATTACTGGTTCTTCCTCCCAAGTTGAGGCCAATTATTCAGATGACGGTGGTGTTTTAGTGGAATTGTAAAGGAAAATAAAATGAATATAAACTCCGTTTCTGATGCCCAGGTTTATATTAGGTAGTAATCTTTTCTTGACTCTTTTTGTGCGACCACTAATCGGCTCATGTGTTACTTCGATACTGTAGCAATTGCAATTTGTTCGTCGTCGTTCCTCCTCTTGACTGCACAATGCAAATGAGTGATTAGGAGCGAGACGTTCCCCTTTCAAATCGCTAAGAAAGAGATTTGGCGGGCCGAAACCTCAAAAGAAAGAATAGAAAGAACTATAACTATACTGTATTCATAGCTCTACCCCCCTCCTCTCATGATGTAGCGAGTAGTGTGGCGCCTTATGTACTCTTTGTCTCTAGAGGAAAAATTGATTGGGAAGGAAGCTCTTGTTTTCAATGAAATTCTAAATTGCTCATCTCATTATCTGTACAGGGTCTTGTTGTTCCAGTAATTCGTGAAGCAGACAAAATGAACTTTGCTGAAATAGAAAAGGAGATTAACACTCTTGCTAAGAAAGCAAATGATGGCTCAATATCCATTGATGATATGGCTGGAGGCTCATTTACCATTTCTAATGGTGGTGTATATGGAAGTTTATTGAGCACGCCCATCATCAACCCTCCACAAGTATGCTATTTTATCATTGCTTTTAAACGTTCAAATTTGTGATTTTATTTGGATTACCTAAGCATTTTTTGGTTTTCGATCTAAGGGAAGTGTACGCTATACATTGAGTGCACTGCCTTTTTAAGTCAGTACACCTCACGTTCCAAGCTGTGAGATGTGAAAAGAAATAGCTGGGGTGTGTCATTGCTCCACTGAAAGTCCGTGAACAAATTGAGGGACTTTGAAACAGACACACAACACACTCTAGCCAAGTGGCCATTGCTTTTCACATATGACAACTTGGGAGGGGTGTGAATTGTTGTCGGAAAAATGGAGTGCACTCATTGTAAAAGATCCATTGTCAAGATATGGGCATTCTGAGCAAAAATAAGGTTACATAATCCAAATGATAAAAGTACTCCACCTCTCTCTCTATCTCATCACCCCTCTGGTTCTCCCTGGCGGGCTTTGCAAGGCCAGAGAGAGAGAGAGAGAGGGAGGGAGGGAGGGAGGGAGGGAGGAAGGTGTCACCTGTAAGGTTGTTCCCTGTGAAGAGCTCCTTGGAGTGATAGGATCTACTCTCCTCCTGAGATGCAATTGGTTGGGAGATTAGATCAGAATGGGAAATGTGAAGGAGCTAAGAACCACCCCTATATATTTGAAAACTCTGGGGCCAAAAGTTTAATTCTATAAACTAAAGTTCCTTTGTAAAGTATGTTGAGAAGTCAAGAGTCAAAGGGGGTGTGGTTAACGCACCCCCCTCTGGGCTTAGCCTATTTGATATTGGGGCTGTTATGCTTAAAAAAATGCTAGTATATAGGGTCAAAGAAGAATTGTGTATACAGTGAGACCATGTATTTTTGGTATAGTAGACCACAAGTATTATTGACTGTTAGATATAAAATCGGGTGGTTTGGAAAGTGTAATTGATTGGGCCCAAAGTTCAAAATAAAATTTCTTGAATTTTGTGGCATACTTCAATCTGTCAGATTTCAAATCCAAGGTATAAGAATCATAGTGACCACTTTGTATCAAAAGTAAATGGGCTTATAGTATATAATCCCGTCAAAAACATCTTTATTCCATAAGATTCCCGCATGGAATACAATCAATTGGGTTATGTTTTTATTCAAAGAGATGATGGGAAAAGAGGAATGGGAGGGACAGAAGAGAATCAGAATCAAAAGCGTCCATTGTCTAGTGGATAGGACATAGGTCTTCTAAACCTTTGGTATAGGTTCAAATCCTATTGGGCGCAATTTATTTCCATCTATTTTTTTGTTTCGATTGCAAAGAAATTTTGAATGATTCAAATCAAAGATTGAGATCTTTCTCAACGATTCCTATTATACTTAAGGACACCTCAAAATAATCAATGAATTCCAAACATAATCTGTTGTTGCAGTCGGCAATATTGGGTATGCACTCAATCGTGACTCGTCCAATGTATGTGGGTGGTAACGTGGTTCCGAGGCCCATGATGTATGTTGCACTCACATATGACCATCGTCTCATTGATGGAAGAGAGGCTGTCTACTTTTTGAGGCGCATCAAAGATGTTGTGGAGGACCCTCGAAGGCTTCTTCTTGACATTTGAAAGTCTCTTCAAAGGAAGCCTGGTGAGTCTCTTCAGTTTTATGCTTCTAAAGCATAAATTATCGTATTTTCTACAATCAAATTTTTGTATGTTTTTCTTCATCTATTCCTGCAATATTTCCCTGATTGGCGGTATACTACAGAAGAAAAATAATTTTGGTCAATTTTCGTCTATGTTCTGATGCCTTCATTTTGGGGGTAAATAGTGTTACTTTCTAACTTTGGGAAACATTTGTTTTGTTGTTTCCACAGCAGTTTTTTGAGTGTGTGCATGAATATGTGAGTTTGAATCTAAGTAATAAAAGGCATGCAGAGCCTTTACTTCAAAATATGTTTACACTCTCAGCCTCCTCTTCCCATCAACTTTTGCTTAATTGGTATTGTAACATGTGAGATCTAGTCGTGCACTTCAAAGTTCGAAAACTTTTTTTTTGTTTTGAGCTTTGAGCTCTGTTAATGACTAATACAGCCAAGGATGACTGTTTCCTCTGCCAAATGTTGATGGTTTGTTTTACTTCCTCTATATTATCAGTATTGTTGCTTAAAACCTGATTAGGGTTTAAGCAAATTAACGTAGGATGGAGTTAGCCTTTGAATATTTTTTATGTGAAACCTTGTAACGGCAATGTGGCATAGTCTCTGCAACTTCATATACTCTTTAGATTTTGTGAAAGTTTTTGAGGAAAAAACTGAGACGTCAGCAGTAAAGAAATTGAAAGGAGAGAAGTTATATTTCGTTTGGATTTTGCTCGGGCAAAGTAAAACTCGAAGTGGATATCTCTCTCTCCTCTCTCATTGTCTTGCCTTGTTTTCTTTTCCCTCAGTCCTGGTTTGCCAGAATAAACGTGATGTCTCACTCTGAACCAAGGACTTTTGGGGCTTCTTATTAGTCCATTCTAGTGGTTATTTCACATTGACTCTTGTTTGGCCGCTGATGGAAGTTGCCCGCCTTCTCTTGCAAGTATCAAAAACTTTACAGCGAGTCGGCGGAATACGCCATTCCTAGTCTTCGCTGCAACCCATATTCACCTCATGTCTGAATTGGTGCAAATCTATTAATTTTGTACTCCATGAATAGTATAGATCTGATGACCTTTGAGAAGTTGAAATAGACTTTCCAAAAACAAGGAAAGGTAAATGATGGATAATTTTTAAGGTTTGAAATTTATTTTTTGTATAAGTCGAGGTGGTTGAGATAATAGAGAATACACGCTTATATGTGTGCATCTGAAAACCAAAACCCTGCCCAGAGATTTTATTAAGGAAAAAGTGCATATTAGACTACAACCTTATTTGTAGAGGCAAGGCTGTAGTAATTTGTACTATCTTATTTGAATGGGGTAGGTTGGACATCATGTTAAAAGGCGCCATCTTGACATTTTCTTAATAGCTATGTCAAATCTATATCTTTTTTTAAAGGATGCAGTTTCTATGGGGTTAGGCTTTATGAAAACAAAGTAAAGGCCCATTCTTACACTTTCGGCAATCATAAATTTCTACACCAAAACTGCAATATTCAATAACTTTTGAAGTGAGGGTTTATTTTCTTTTATGGGGCTGCTGCACTATCAAATTATTTTCCTTTATTTAAAACGGAGTATTAGAATCTTATTTCTACCGGAAGCATTGTAACTTTATACTCGCCACCCCCTCATGTTATGGATCAATCGAAGTCCTTTTTCGGATGGATAAGTTGATGTAAGAAAAATATTTTATGACAGAAAAATGACATAATAAAGTATTTTATTACGTCTCTCTCAGTCTCTCGCACCACTGTCACAATCACTTTTGGCTTAGGATTGTAATGGATCCGAGGCATCTCTAGCACCATTGTTACACTCACTTTTGGCTTACGATTGTAATGGATCCGAGGCATGCCCCATCAGTCATCACATGCCCTCTGGATTGGCACAAACCCCTATGTCTATAAACACCAATGCCTTGTTCACAAAGTAAGCCAATTTTGGTACAAGAATTCTCTTCTTCGTTTTTTCCACGAGAATTCAATCCCTGTTCCTTTTGCTAGAGGTCCTAAGCTCACATATTGGAAGGGTAACGTGTTTCTTTAATGTTAAAAAGTATTAGTATTGGATACATGTCCAAACTTTCTTTTCAGTCTGGAGGTGAGAGTCTCTCTCTAAATGAGGGTGGATGCCTTTTTCTAGGGTAGAGTATCTTGTAGTCTCACGGCTTTATAAAGTCGCACCCTAAAACCTGCAATATTAGTCTGGACTTCAACAATTATGGATATTGAAAACTTTAAAAAGGGGTTTCTCTTTCTGGTTTACCAATTGCTGATGGTGTTTTGAGTGTCTTGTAGTTCTTTTTTGTAACCCTTTGAGATATCAATAAAAAGTCACGAACATTGTCAAGGAAAAAAAAATTGATCAATCCTATAAAAGTATTTTTGGACCATTTCTTTCAAGCGTAACACATATCCCTTATGTCTGTACCATTGTTTGAACTTCAAATTTCACAGTGATGGATAGCAATGGTTTTGCAGGTCATTACAAGGGTTTATAGTGTTAGAATAGATTTGCAGGCCATTACAAGAGTTTGACTTTCAAGCACCGGAGCCGCATTTTCTTTTGAACTTTTGTGATGCGGTTTTATCAAACATCGTGAAGTCGCGGCCCACACCCTTCTTTTTAATGTGGACGTGACTTCATCTCTATCATACAAAGCACTGAAAAACTCTCTCTCTCTCTCTCTCTCTCTCTCTCTCTCTCTCTCTATTCGTTTCGTTATTTGGGCAAAGTTAGTAACGTGATCTTTAAGATGAAAAGCATGTAAGTATGAGAATTTAGAAATATTATCATGTGTACCTCCATTTTTGAGGTGACTCATCTCAAAGATTCTCCTTCTTTTTAGAGAGAAATATACATAGCTCAGGTGACTCATCTCAAAGATTCTCCATCATTCTTGAGAGAAAAATACATAGCTCATCATCCAAACAAAAGACATTCTCTCTCTAAAGACTCTCTTATCCTTAGAGAGATGAGAGGGAGGCTCAAATTACTCTCATTTCAGAGAAATGCTTGATATACAAAGAAAGAGCTGATGGTGATGTGAGAACTTAAAAGTCATATTTCTCTCTCTAAAGACTCTCTTATCTTTAGAGAGACAAGAGAGATATTCTCTCTAGACTCTAGAGAGATGGCGCTCTATCTCTCTCTAGAGATGGGCATCAATATAGAAAGAACTGATGAGAGTACTTACATCGACATGGACATATTTAGAAGCCGCATGTCCAGAGCACTACGCTCCATGTCCCATGGGTCCCGCTAGAATGTCTCTTTTGAGTATTTTTCGGCAACAATTTCGGCAATCTTTCGCTGCCCAACCTAGAAAATATCCTCCTCCTGCCACCTCTCTCTACCAAAAAAAACTGCAGTTTTCTTTGGGTCGAGACCTAGAGAATCCAAAATTTCGGCGAAATTTCGTTAAATTTTTGTTGCTGAGTTTGGTCAGCTGTAACTAACGGCATTCACACGCTTAGAGCAGCGGGATTGACGGAATGTTCGCCGAAATTTGTTGAAAATTATGGCACATGGTGCGGGTATTTTATTGAAGTTTTCTTTTGGGTTTTTTGTATGTCAAATTAGGTCGCAAAGGAAACCGGAAAAATATTTCATGAAAAGGGATTGGAAACTAAAATCTCATGGCGAGACACCCAAATTCCTATCTGAAATGTAATATTCTAAGATCAACAACCCACTATGTTGGGTCATCCTAATAGTGGTGTGTATGTCGGGTGATCCTAAAGAGAGGTCATACATACATTATCAAATATATCAAACGAGAGTAACCTAAAGGAAAAAGTTTATATAGAGCCGAGGCTCTAAACAATCAAATTAGAGCGTGCCCCAAAAATTCCATTAGAAGAGGTTGTTTTGATGCCCAAATATCTTCAAATTGATCATCTCTACATCAAGATGTATGGAAATGACAAAAAAATAGATTTCTAGTTTTAAAAATAATGCATCTTGTAATGCATTTTTGGACTGTCAATCTTCAAGATTTTCATAGATATGCTCCATGCGTATTTTTAAAATTTGTAAATTTTATAATTAAAGATAAATATATGTTTTAAGACTATCACAAAGATTTCTAATATTAAAACTACATTTCTTGACGCTATTTGAAAGTGCTATTTATTTTGATTATTTAGAGCCTCGGCTCTTTACAAACCGTGCCGAGGAGCTTCTTTATTCTCTCCCTCTACAGTGGAATTTAGTGAGGGAGGGAATAAGGGAGCATATACTCTATTATTTGAAAAATAATAGAGTAAGAGAAATCAGCTGTCAATGGAATTTGAGAGAGAGAACCTTAATTCGAAAAAGAGTATGAGAGAGAGAACCTTAATTCAGAAAAGAGTGTGAGAGAAAGAACCTTAATGTGCGAGAGAGAACCTTAATTCGAAAATCCTTAGCTAGATCCTTTTTAAAAAAAGAAGAAAAAGGTGGGGTTTGTATAAGGTTGCAATCAAATTAAGGTGCAAGCTTAAACTTCATTATGAGATGTAGTTATAGTGTCAAAATCTCATAGGAGGGTGCGAGACTCTATTTTTATCTTTAATTATAAAGATTAAAACTCCAAAAATTGTTCAAATCAACCAAATTTATAAATGTATGAAAGTATTGAAAATAGACGATCTAAATAATATGTTACAAGATACATGATTTTTGAGACTCAAAATTTATTTTATTTTTCACAATCATACATCCCAATATCGAGATGATCAATTAGATGATTCTTAAACTTCAAAATAGCTTTTTACGATAGATTTTATAGGTGCGCCTTAATTCTATATTCTAGAGTTGCAATCTTATATAAATTTATGAAAAAGAATAAAATGAAAGAGGGTAGCGAAATTAAAAGAGAGAACGTGAGGAGCATGACTGGAAATGCATGGATTTTAAGAAACTGCTACTAATAATAACAATGGTAATAAGAATGGTGGTAAAGCCGACGGCCCAATTTCCAAACCTGTCAGCCGTTGGTCGGGTTCATCGCATCCGTACTACAAGCAGATGCCTCCACACAACCAACGGCTTAGATTCTCGAATCCCATTCCGCATCAACATCTCCACCGTCCATTGACTGGTCTTATAGGGAGAAGAGAAAACCATTTAGAGAGAGAGAGAGAGCGTGCCCGCACGACCACGACAAAGGGGGGGAACCCCACGTCCCCAAATCGCAAGGGAATAGAGGGGAAAACCTTTGGTGCCAAAGCAATTATAGAGAGAGAGAGAGAGGCATTCTGTAGAGAGAGAGAGAGAGACAGACGTAGAGAGAAGAAGAG